AAAAAAAAAAGGGCCAAATGTCCGCATACAACTTTACACACAATAATGCAAAAACAAAATATTCGCATATAATGGTAAAAATACCCTGAAAATTTTATTTCACCACAATACACCACCATTTTATGTATATAACAAATTTTGATGGTAAAAATAATTTTGAGATGAAAAAACATAACAACGAAAAGTTCGTGTACAACTTACAAGTTACATGTGAAATTGTGAAAATTCATAAATAATGGAAAAAAATGCCCATAAAAAAAAAAACTTTCTTTCACCACAGTACAACACTATTTTATGTATTTAACAAACTTCGATAATAAATTTAGTTATGAGATGAAAAATAAAACGACCAAAGACAGTGAATAGTAGAAAATGTAATAAATACAAAAATTAAAAAACAAATCGTAAAAAATGGTAAAAAAAAGCTCCGAAAAACTTTCTTTCAACAATGTTGACTACCATTTTATTTTTTAATAGATTAATAATAATATAAATTTAAATATATTTTCATTATATTTAAATTTATCAAATATATTTATATTTATATTTTTGTTATCTTAAAAAGTATATAAATATTTATTAACTTATTTAAAAAAAGTATTGGTATAAAAAAAAAACCTCCGGCCGACTGTTACAAACTTAAAACGTCTGAATCTCGAGCTAATTGACGGTTGAACATCCTCGAACCTTCATAACTCTCATACCGGAGGGAGTAATAGCCTCTCATGCCTATGTTAGCACTTGAAGAATATGAAGTGCTATATATAGAGAATGTAATGTCAGTTCAGGCATATCTCCTTCCCTTTTGTAGGAAAATAATTAGGGCGTATTTAGGAAAAAAATTTGGGAGGGACTAAAACAACTATTGGAGCCGAATTGTGTTTGTTCAATTCGTAAAAGTTTGATCTCATATCATTATATATTTAAAGGAGCCAAGCTAGAACACCTATTTAAACATTCTTAGTAAACAAATCGAGTAGAATGACGATTACACAAGTGGAGTTTGAGCTCACTTTTTTGTTTATTTAGTAAATAGTCGAGCTGATCCGATACATTTATTAAACTATCACAAGCTTAAGCATGAGATATTCAATTTGACTCAGT